CGCAGATTGTTGTATGCTGCAAACATGAACGAAAAAGACACTCTTTTTCCAGATTTCTACATGTTATGCAAGTAACTGAGCCAACAATTGTAACGGCAACCAACTAATGGACTGGAAACAACTGCTTCTGACAGCCAAACATCTTCATGTGCACAATTTCAAAACCCTCTACACAGTACTAATTCATTAACAGCTGAAAACCAACTAAAACACTCAAAGCCGCATGAATGCAAGGTATGAAAACAATTACACCGAAATGAATGCACTGGCCTGGTAGTGAAAACTTTCGAAACCAAAGAAATAATTCATTTTAACAGCAACGGAAACAAAAAATGAGGTGAAACGCAACATTTGTGAACGATACGCAACAAGATAAGTCGTGTATAACGGCAGGATAAACGGAACAACAAACGCGTTAACGAACAGCTACGGAACTGCGATCCAACATGGCCGACTAAAATGGACGAAAATGACCTTCGAGCGCCTCACTCCACCAATGACCTTGATAAGTGACGGATAATTTCAGCCCGTAAAACGCTCACATTGAAATTTGAACATTATTACCATGGAGATACGAAACGTTGAATTATTTTAAAACTAATATATGCATTCCCTTAAAGTATTGAGTTACTTCGCAATTTATTTTCATAGCCTTAGATTGATTGTGTTACTTTCTTCATAATAAGTAAGTAAAAATAATATTCTTAGGGAGTTGTATATCATTTTGAAAGCCTTACCTAAACACAAGATTTTGGGCGATTTCAGGTATTTTGACCATCTCAGGGTTTTATGACGATAGTTCAGAAATTAAAATTGTTACTCAGGTCATCGATCTTTGTGTAGTGTAGCGTTCCAAGATTACGGTAACTGCGCTTTAGCAATATAGCTGTATATACAGCTGTATATACACAGCCTGCAGGCTGGATCAATGAACCTAACAGCTTGTCATTGTGTAGAAGACATAGGGTAGAATGCAGGGATTAGTCATAGTCTTCTGAAATATAAACTTCAAACCCAATTCAGGCTTGAGAATAGTGTGCATCATGACTTTGTGTGATAGCTTCGCATCATTCTGAAGGCAGTCAAACATTTTATCTGTCTACAAACCATGCGAATTATTTACGCGGGCTCATAATTTGCCGTTTTTTATCTTGTCTCTGGAAAATGCTTCCAGTACCTCTAGGTGATCTTCATTCTCAATCGGAAGACCCAGCATTTACTTACTTTTTTTTTACTTGTGATTACAGCTTGATTCCACACTGTATTTTTAGTACAAGTATGGAATTTTCAGCATGGATATCGGTAGCCCAAATTTCGCAGGCCGACCATAGATATCAGGTGTGCGTCGGCAGGGGATCGAACCTCGGACCATGTGCATGGTCGGTGAGAGTCCTAACCACTGTGCCACCGACGCACATCGTTGGATGAAAGCTAAGTTTTCCCTCGACATTTGCTGCTAGTGCTGATAATGGTTTACATTTTCGTACACAAGTTGATGATATATATATTGAAGCCTCTTTAAATGGATAATTACTTTTGAGTACTTACCGAGTAATTCCTTAAACTTCATGGAATAATTGACAGCTTTGTTAGACGGCAGTCTAAAGCAAGTATACAAAATTCTTCCTACTGGTTAGATACCGTCGGCGTCTTTTTGCCAACAGGAAATGACGACTGGAATTTTGGAGCATTCGAAGTACTGAAAATGAATAGCGTTTGATTGGGTTAGTACTTTGGAATTGGGGGCGCGAAGTTATCGGATATATCATAAAATAGATCCTGTGGTCTGATGCAGCCAACTTCTCTGGCAGCTTCATTAGTATCCATGGTGTTGTAAAAAAATGCTTGTTTTTTTCTTTGCATCATTTCTGAGGGTATGGTGACCATTAGAAAATGTTATCCTAACCTGCAAACGAGAACCCATGACTTCGCATTTATTACAACCTGTTTTTCCATAGTGATCTACAGTTTGTTTGACATTAGAACGAGCAGGTGTGTCACATATAAACGCTAGAACACTGGCAGTGACATCCCCAGCACACTTGTGAACGTATTCACCGTTTCTCGATATAAGTATAAAACGTGGGCACTGTGGAAGAGTATAACTCCTTTGTAGATAAGATTTTATTTTGATAAATGCTGTACAGCATTAATAACTGATGACGTTTAGAGCCCAAATTATTGCTCATATTCGTATCAAGTTACTCACACAACTTTTTACTTCATTTATTTACATGAGTGAAATTGATTTGACATTTGATTGATAACACTAATATTATTTCTGAATGTACATTATCTTAAATGGATTTTTATTCAAATGTCTAATCAATTTCACTCATGTAAATAAATGAAGTAAAACGTTGTGTGAGTGACTTGATATGAATATGAGCAATAATTTGCGCTCTAAATGTCATCAGTTAATAGTGCTGTACAGCACTGTGTGATTTATCAAAATAAAACCTTATCTATAACAAAGAACTCACCGTTTTTGTAAAGATTCTTCAATTCAACTAATAGGTTCCTAGAAACCTAAGTAAAGTCATCCGCTTTTCTCAGCCAGTTTAAAACACGTCACTGACGTATGGAGTTAGATGCGATCTAGGAATGGCCATAATTGCTACGAAGAACTGTTCGATATGGATAAATCATCAAAGTTAATTTGCACGCCAACATGTTGAAAAGCAACTCAGTCAGCTCAACTATCTAGATAAAGCTGTATATTTTCCTTCAGAACAATATGATAGTAAACACTTGTCTAATAAATCTAGATACACTCATGCCTCTGTCTTTTAGCAAAACTCATTTTTTTGTTGGCGCTTACCGAATCAATTTATGGATACTGTTGAATGCTTCTTGAACACCAACTGCTGTACCTTCTGATGTAACAAACCTATAATGGACTTACTCACTAGTTCTTTGTATGTCATATTTTCAGGAAAAATCAGAAGTTTTGACTAAAAATATTTGTTATGTAATAATGAGCATTATGATTCCCCTCAATTTGTTAAAGAACAGTGGTGGCCTTACTAGTATTAGGCCTATCCCCTATTTCTTGTTTCCTGAACGCAAAGGTACTGTCTTAACCCTTGGCACCTCTTCCCTAGATGTGCATTGACGTTACTAGCAATCCCAGTCACTGAAAGCTGCATCACGTAGCCCCTTCCAAAGTTATAAAAAATTGAAGTGGAGTGGCTGTATCCAAGGCATTCATTCAAAGTGGCATCATAATTACTGAGAAGATTGACATATTGTGCAATTAAGGGTTAGAAATGTAAAAATGACAAAATATCATACATTTATTCCCCTTAATGAATTTAAAAACAAAGCAAGAACTACAGTTTTTGCAGAATAAAGTGGCACCATCTTTGCTTAATTCGTTGCCTTCTCGTCAGCTGCTTACAGGCCAAAGACATTATTAAATATATCTAAAAAAACAATTTCAACATACTTGCACAGAGTTCACTTTAATCAAAAACCAGTCGATCAATATATGCATAGAGTAATAATATATACATATGTATATGTAATATTAAACACTATTCCGAACAGTGATAATCATACACAATGGAAACCTTTCAGCATTACGCATTCAGATGAAAGAGAGATGAAAATATCCAGTTAGCAAGGCAAAGAAAGACTGATAACCGCTTCTTTCTGGACACATAAACGATACTTTTAAATTCCTGGATGTTTTTTTTGCGAAAACGACTGATGGCACAATCGGAAGATCTATATTTAGAAAGTCTTCCTGGACAGGACAGTACATGCATTTCAAGAGCTTTGTTCCAATCCAGTATAAAAAGAACTTAGTCAGAACACTGTTTAATAGAGCACGGAAAATGTTTTCTAACAGTACAACTGAGCATGAAATAAAAGCTCTGAAGGATATTTTATATTAGAAGGGATATCCTAAGAAGTTCATTGATAAATACTCTAAAGAAATTAGCTCCTGCGAAACTACCCAAACAGTCCCGAAGAAATCTGTCTATATCAGTTTGCATTTCAAAGGAGATAATGTACATGAAGTAGTCAAACGAAGACTCGATAAAGCTATCAAGGGAACTTACTGTGCTGCAAAACTTGTTTTCCTTAACACCACTAAGCGAGTGCTTCATCAATCTAGGAAAGATCAGCCGCCAATCCTCGACACTTCAAACTGCGTTTATTAATTTGAGAGTGTTTGTAGAAGCAAATACATAGGTCGCTCAGAAAGGTGATTGTCTACCCACATGATTGAGCATTTGCCAAAATGGTTGTAAACAGCTGAACGCAAAGTGTCAAAACCTTAATAACAAAACATCTTGTGGACTATGGACACGGTAATGACTCTGTCAAGTCATTCACTATTGTCAGCAGACAAAGAAACAGGAAGATGCTTGTAATTGCAGGGGCTTGTGCAATTAGAGTTTATTAACCAGGTCTCTGTGTACAAAAGGAGATGGTCGTCACTCTGAATCTACCATGGTAATATGTTTTACTTATTATTCTTGATTCATTTAAAACCATCCTTTATCAGTATTTTGTAATTATTGTTATAACTATTACTCTGCTTGCAATTCTTGATATATTCTGTGATGACTAATTGTTTATTTAAGTGATGTAATTGAAGCGTAATGCAATTTTTGATCTCTCATGCTCTCTCTCCCCTTATCTATTTCAACATGACCTGGAAAACATTTGCACCTGTCTTTCAGCATGACTAATGCAATGTAGCTTATTTGCTTATCAGTCTTATATCTCCCAATTTAGTTTCAAAAGTATATATATAGGTGTATGTGGAGTATTCAGCTGACGGGTTCTACTGAAATTTGATGAATTCATTAAATTCTGCTTTATTAACCTTTGTTGCTTGTCTTAAACTCTGATTTGTCCCCTATTTTGTGTTGAGTGTGAGTATTTATACCTTCATGATAACACGTAATTCTCAAGAAATTTCATAACCTCAGGTTGATTTCATAAAAGACGCTTATTCCATAATTGTTTTGGCTCTACAGGCTGAAATGAGTCGCAGACCGCCATTTGGAAGCAACACAGATAGGTTTAAAATATACTATCATTTTTTATGTGTTTAGAAACAAGATAAATGTTCATCCAAGGTGGAAGAAAGAAGTGTACTCGGACAGTTCAATTCCTGTCTACGATGGTACCAATTTTGATAATAGAGAGACTGGACATTCAAACGCCTGTCACCATAGCAGTTCCATGTCAGTTGGAAAAGACAATATGAGTGCAAGCGTCTTGCTAGCATTCCAAACTTATTCAGCAGGGTCCTCAGGTTGTCTAAAGAATCCCAGGTAAGTATGATTGTTTTGTATTATACATTATATTATATATGGTTTAATAGATTCCTACATTGTGCTCTTATATACTTCTCACTAATGCTTGATTATATATATATATATATATTCTGGTAACATAAATTTAAACTATCCCCCTTCATTGATTCCAAATCTTCACATACGGTATTACATCGATAATCTGAATTTATTTTATTTTATCATATTTATTTAAAATTCAATAAAAGCTAGACTTGTCACTATTACTTTTCACCAAAAGCTTGAAGGCTAGAGTTTTGCTGCCATATTCACTCCAAGTTCATGGACTAGTAAGGCATAGAGTGGCAACCAATAACCGTTTCAGTACGTAATTTGAAACGACTACGATACGGTTTCCTAAATATGTACGAAGCGTTGATGCAATTTATTTTGGCACTTAACACTTGCTAAACTAGATAAAGTCTTTCTATTGTGATCATTCTATCAGTATTAATAATTTGATGAAGAAACTTTTCACCATGGGAGGGCCTATTTCTATAATTTGGGGACGAAAACCTATTTAATTTGCAAAATACGAAGGAATGAAATCCAAACTTTATGGGAAATTATAACCTTGACAATAAATTAAAAATATTAGGTTTTGTTAAATCTCCTGTTAAGTGTTTGAATTTGAAACTAAATCGACAGAAGTCGTCACTGATTTCGCTGGATTAGTTTTAAAAAAGGAATATTTACAATTTGAATAGCTTAGCAACACAGCTTTTAACCATAGCACATCGACTTGTCCACAGATCACTGAATGATCATGTTCTTTCAGCTTGCAGGCAAGAAACCCAACTGTGAGGCTTTTCACTTTTCACCTTTAACAACATACAAGGTGGTGACTTCTGTTGAACTGTTATTAATTTATCCCTAAAGTGCAGCTATTGCGGCACAAATTGTTCGGGTTGCTATTTGGATAGCAGTCATGGAAATCAGGTGGGATAAGCTTTTTATGTTATAAGGTAGTTATATACAATAACAGTATGACTTATCTGGTTATCTTTTTCATAGGAGAAAAATCTTGGACCGGGCCGCTATAATATTTCAAGAGAAATACCAGTAAAAGGAGCTTCTGAAACTATTGGACCCATAAACACACGTGAAGTTCGTTTTCCAGAGTCAAAAACGGTAAAACCAAAATTTGTTCCAAAACTGTAAAAATTACAGAATAATAATCCTGGTGTGGGTACATATGGTGTAAATGGTGATCCGTATATTTATAAAGAACAAATGGACGCAAAACATAAGTCCCCTTCCTCTAAAGGCTTATTGGAATCGGGGGGAAATGGGTGTCGTTCTCTTCCACCTGTGGTAATTTGTCTTAAAAATCAGAATAAGCTTTATGAAAAAGGGATGCCATTTAGCACCAGGAACGTACGAAATCAGCGGATCAATACAGGATCTACTCAATAAAAGAGTTAGCAGTCGTGGGCCTTACGATCTACTAACTGGACCAAGAAATAATGAGAGTGTGAGTCAACTAATGGATGATACCAAATAATTCATATATTATACTGGTGATGGAAATTTCGCTTACCAGTAAATACTGGAAGAGGAATTTCTAATTTATTCCCTACGGTTTTCTTTTTTTTTTTAAAGCATAACATTTTGCCCATAAAATTCGTTTCACTTCTTTTTGTTTGGCATCTTAAGAATACAGAGATGAGATTAGCCTTATATTAAACGGTTTTTAAAATAATCATGGTAATTTTCGATCACTTGCGTTGTAAAATGATAGTTTTAGGGTGTGATGCAGAATTCTGCCTACCGCTTATCCTAAGTAAATAAAACTAAGATAAATTATGTAGTTAAGGCACAACATTTTTATTTGTAAATTACATACATACGTTATATTGCCTTTGCTTAGTGTCATTATCCTGTCAGCTTCCAAGCTAATAGAACTAGCAGTTTCACTAGAGTCAGAAGCATTCACTTTTTTGTCTCCTACCATCTGGGTTTTTTTTAAAACTACTTATCAAACACAGTAACGTGCAGAATTAAATTGTACCGGAAAACGTTTAACTTTATATGTTAAAACGCATAAAATTTAATCACAAATGAGATATTCAATCACAGATGCTGAAAAAGTGAAGTATTCAGAATGATGACAGAAGAGACTAGGATTTCATTCTTTCATGGATTTTTTTAGACGGCAAGCTTTAAATAGTTGTAAGTCTATGAAGCAGCGTACAACTGCCGATTGCTTCCAACCATCTAATTTCATCAAATCAATGTATAACTTTTCCGCTGAACATTCGTCATGAGGAGTATACAATTCATTCGAAATGTGCTTACTGTTTTCACTTGTTTTTTAAATTAGGTTTGAACAAGTGGCTTTCTTCATGGTTCGAAGTATTGTTTCTTCAAGCGTTTTATTGAATGCATATGCTTATGGCATATTCCGAGAATGTTTTCACCTCGTTGTTATTGCATTAGTAGAGCTTATTGTGGTCTTGTTGTATCTACTTTATTCCTATTCATTCTTAATTCTGAGCGTTCTTATTGTTTGACTTTTCTCATTACACTTCCATTCTTTTGAATAAAACTATTGGTTGGTTAGTGGGGAGCAAACAGTGTCTCATATCAACTGCTTAGTAGTGCTGACTGAATTTTGCCAGTCAATCTAAAATGTGATCACCGATACAGAAGACCCGGCATATGTGAACTTGTGGATGCCTTCAACTATCTAATAATAATTACTATTTTTATAATTATTCCTTTTTAAGCCTTTTACAAATGTTTGGGATTTTGATCAGTTTTCAGCAAGTTGCATAACCTCACCTATACAATATCAAATGGATACACTTTCATGCGTGCTACACTTTAAACATCAGTGGTTAAGTTGAAAGTCTTCACTATTTATGATAAATAACAGTGCAAATTAGCCAGATGGAGACGATTTAAATTCTAGACAACTGTTTCATTCTTCAGGAATAGATATAAGCTTGATAGAGCTGTACCAGAACTGATTTAGCTAGAATGAGAAAACAGTTCAAACCACAGTAATAGCTGTCGGTTGCTTGCATGCAATGCATGTCTCAGAGCAACAAAGTAATAACTCACTCATGGTCACACAATGCTGCACATGGTGTAATACTACACCTCTCTCTCTCTCTCTCTTAAAACCATTTGTAATCTGAATCAGACTAAAAAAATTGCTGGTTCTGAAAGAACATCGTGGTAATTCGTAACTAGCTGATCACACTTTTGTCTGATTTTATATCTTATAGTTTTAAACGACTCAGTATCCCTTAATTCCAAATTTACACCCCTTAACTAGCTTTTCGTTATCACCATAGTACTATGTCAGGACAAGTATAATGTATAGAATTCAGGATTATTGTTTAGATTGCATACGTTAGCTTCGCTTTTATTCTGTGAAGCATTAGGATATCCTCCAGGATTTGATCCAGTAAGGTGCATTTTAGACAAAGTTGTTGATTCTTCGTTGAGTATAAACAGATAAAAGTTGTTTAAATGTAAAAGCTTATTTATTTCAAGAGTGGAAAACTAAGTTGAAGTTCTCACTGCCATCTAGAAACTTAGTTTCTCAAAACAAGAGTGAAATTATCAAAAGACGCTAGTTAGCGTCTTATTTCAGTATTTTCAGATGAATAAAAGTGTGCAATGGCTGTCAAGTACCTCAGTTCAATACGAACAGTTATACAGTTAATAAGTTTGTTTTCGTTGAAAACGTTTGACTAAACGCATCCAGATATTTCGAATTTCATTTATGCTTATTTTTATTCTTTTTGTGTTCATAAATCATTCAAGGTATCCGAGTACCCAGAACCTGGGACATATCCGATCAGTTCATTCACATCCGATCTTTTGAAACCTGATAAACGATATGCTGGGAAGTTTCGTAGACTTATTGATGAAAATAGAAAAAGTGATAAATTTTATTCTAGTAGTATGCAGAATAAAATAATTGCTTCCAAAGTAAGACTTGACTTTTTTTTTATTTAGCTACACATTGCCGAAAGTGCTTGTAAAAAGTGATCAAATAAGTGATTAGGATGTCTTTAAAATTTTCGTTATTGAATTCGAATGGAATTATATTTATAAATACATGTATATATTCTTTTCAAGGGTTAGTTTGCAGGGATTTGATTTGTTTCACTTTCGATCACGGGCAGATATCAGTTACAAAACCATTAGAAAATCAGGGAGTACAAACTAACTCTTGAAAATCACTTTGATGCTCACTATTGACTGGCTACAGGGCGAAGTTGCCTGGAGTTCTGTTGAGAAGTCGTGACCGGTGGGATCCACCAGGTCGAGCATGACGACAACTGCTCTCCGATGACATTGGCTGGTGGTTGGGCTAAAATCACGAACTAGTAGAAGCTGGGAACCATGGTCCACTGGATCGGATCCTAGAGGCTAAATTGTCTACGGGTTCGGCGTGAGTTCAAACCCTGGAGGAGTCTGAAACTAGGACGAAACAGCCGTCTGTGACCCATTGGTTTTCCGGTGGCTATCTAACTAATGTCAGCTCGTGATCAAATTTGGAATATATCTGTTCATCAGTGTGCTGAATATAATTTTACTTTACTCTAAAATAGACTGAGAGTACAACCTGTTAATAACTAAAACATACTACTTCCCAGAGTTTCTGTTAGGATGAGAAGTAATGTATTACTACACACAATTCATGTCACCTGACCACAGACATACATAAGGTCACTCAAATCATAAGTCATAATCTATCTCCTTCTTTCCTTACAGTTTCACAATGCCCAATAATTTATCATAGAAGAGTGTTTTATTACTTCGGTGGTCTAGGCAAGATTGACAGCTGATTAGCAGCAATGCTTCCTATCCAAAGTGCATAGTCCTAGACCCATAAGTTTTAGACTATCCCTCTGTAGATAGCAACGAATTAAAATTAATTTTCCTCTTGAGCTGTGACGAATTGTAGTAACATTATCCTGTAGGTTGTTTCAAAGTTTCTCATTTATTTCGCCTATAAAGGTGTTTCAATTGAGAATAAGTAGCATCGCGTGAATTGAAATTATACTGGTTATAGTGATATGGAATTTGATGGTAAAAAAGACATCCTAACAATTCATTCATCCTTAACATGGGAAAACAAAAAAATGGTTTGGGTATCTGGAACGGTTGGCTGTTTGCTATCAAACCATTGCAATTGTTCCATTGTAATTTCAAAGGGTTTGTAAGCTCATTAAGTTATCACAATAAAATAGTAATAGTTGTTGAAAACTTCTTGATAAACAGAGACTTTATATCTGTTCGTAAATAATGGGTAAAATAATTCAGCAGATATTCTGAAATGGTTGATTTGTTGACGAATCCATTTATTTAAATAACAGCATACTGTGATCTCTATGTGGTGTGATATTCATCAAGTAAATCCTCACCGTCCACTTCTTTCCAGTACAGTAAATACCGTTATGAAGGCTTGACTTTATAGAAACTGCTCTCTTTGCTAGGAGTTGCTTATTCGATGGTAAAATCATAGTTAAATAAAGATCTGTATCCTCAACTTTCTTTCTGTTGTGACGTGTAACCGATTTAAACTAATGTATCACTCTGTTAGATTATGACGTAAGATCTATCATTGAATCATATGGAGTTTCTCATAAAAGTTGTTTATTTTTTCAACATGTGATAATATTTACTTACTCTGAGTACACTTCAATTTTCTCAATTTGTTTTAAAGTTGGGACCAGGTTATTACAATCCAAAATATCCGAATGAAGAAAGAAACAGTTTCAACAATCAAGCACCGTCATTCCTCTCCAGTTCTTCACGTGACGCATACTCTTTATTTTCTGTTAGACGGGTAAATCATTTTGTATAAATTTATTGCTCAAGTTTGTGATAAATAATGACTTTTACTAAAGGGATAGCTATGTTTATATGAAAGAGAAATGAATAAGTTGTTTCAAGCGTGCAGAAGTTGGCTCAAGGTTAGTTAAATAAAACTTAACAAGTTTAGTGACTGAAATCAAGAACTAGCCACATTGAGACTTTCATATTAAGTAGAAGGATTTTCTCTAAGATAGCCTGGACAGTTTGATGGTATGGTTGGGAGTTTTTGTTTCTCAGCCTATGTGTCAAAGGTGAAAATGTTTGCATACTGTTATAGATGAGTTATTATGGGATTTCTTTTAACTGCAAAAAAGTCATAGTTAGGTTAGTTAATGCATTCATTTAAAATTGAATTCATCAAAGACATAAATGAACACTCAATGATTACGGACATAATCAATTATTTTGTGACTACTAGCAAAATGCTGCCCTATGATTAGCAGTCATCGAGAGAGACAACTATTTAGAACAACTTTATAATGATTTGTAATGGAATAATTTCAGCTCATTTAATTAGAATTTATCCTGTGAATGTTTCTGTTAAAGGCTCTTATACTTTATTCTATGACTTTATCCTAAGATTTTGAAATTCTTTTTCACTTTTTGTTTTCGGTTGACCATCCAGTAATGACCAGCTATGGAGTGTAACTGCTTACAATCAGTATTTAAAAGAGATGATTGTTTTCATTAACCGATTTTATGTGAGATATATGTTTCTGTCGCCTTATTTTGTTAATTATTCTTTCCCAAACCATGCTTATTTTGTAGACTCCTGTAGGTCCTGGACGGTACGATTCAGACAGATATGACCAGTCTCGTTGTATTTCAGGGGCTGTGTGCTCCTTTGATTCCACTTCATCAGCCCGTCTAAGTTTAAAAGAAGCTAGAAAAATAAGGTAACATTCTGTGTGCATTTTGTCAGCATTTCATTAAGTCATCATGAATAATGTGAGTATTTTGGTTAGCTGAATATTTAGGAAATTGTTGGGATAGAGTGTGATCATTAAAGGCCTGTGACATATGTTTGACGTTTGAATGTTAGGCCATGTTGAACTGTCTACCAAAAACCTTCATAGCAGCCTGCATAATTGATTAAACCAACTGAAGAAAAAACTAGTCATTCGTACTTGTAAAATAGTTGTCCACTTATTACTGGAGTTGACTGTATCAATATAAGCATACAAAATCTAATTTATTTTTGAGCTTATATCATATACAGTCATGTTTAAAAGACTAAAAGCATGAATTTATCAGGAAAATGTAACTCCAATCAAATGATTGATGTCAATGGCAGACAGGAAACCTTTCTGATCCTATACATGCAACCTTGGAAACTACAATGAGTTTAACATTAACCAAAATTTTTACATGTGTATTAAACTGCACCTAATTTATTTCACGTGAAGTATAGTCAAGGCTTTTCTTTTTAGAAGCGTTACGATAGTGTTTTGAACTGCTAACAGAAAATAAAGTGAAAATAATTATTATTGCACGGAAATACTTTTCATGTTTATTTGTCATTTTCATGATGTTTTTTAGTGAGATAAAGACCTAATTAACCACTAGGTGACGTGCATCAGCTGTTAGGTTACTGGGATAGCAACCCGGAGGTTGATAGTTTGACTAACTGTGAACAAGGTTTTCCTTTTACCTGCAATCATCGATATGTGTTCGCAACTATCTTGACAACTCTTTAACATGTAAAAGATTTACGGCATATGTAATGCAACGAATTTAATTCACCCTATAGGGTTTATCGCACTAGAACTTTTTGTACATTGTATTCAGTGAAGAGAATTTTCGCAGCAAATTTAATTTAAAGTTTAGCATTAGTATGTGAATAAAGTTGTTAAAAGTATATCCTTTGGGATTTCTAATCACTGAATGACAATTATACAGATAAAAGTATCTCAGTTGTAATTGTAGTTAAAAGTGAGATGAAACTAAGTTATATAATACGTGGAGCTGTCCATGGAGTGTCAATGTAGGACAAGATATAAAACTAGTTGTACTGGTAAAGCAATAATGCATTTTATAAAACACCCATAGAATTCCAATATTTACAATCTGAAGCTCAATATTTGTGTGCAGCAGAATTGGATGCGGTTCTTAGTCTTATCTTAATATTTCCTTGTTTGTTAAGTTGACATGATTATTATTATTATTAAAAAATTTCGATTGTTGTCTCCTTTTTACGAGGTGAATTTTTTTTTTCAGAAATCAGACATATATACGCACGTACAGATCGACAGAAAATGTTCTATATGATCTGTTCATGATTTCTAAACGAGCTTAATTGGGTTACCTGTAAAGCTTGTTTCCAGCTGACTAATCAGCGATGCTTCGTATATATTAATTAAGTGAAAGTTACTACCACCAATTTATACAGAAATATTCTAATAAATCAACGAGTTACCGACTGAGAGTCGGGTCACTATATTACATATCATTGACTTATTTAGTTAATTTTTTCCGATTAACACTTTTGGTGAGGAGTCTGTGAGCTGATATTGATACAACACCATTAGAAACTTCGACGTTGTTTCCTCCCCGCCTACAAATTCCGGTATTATTTATTAATAGATTAACAAAAAGTACAAACCAAGACTTGAGATTCAGGCTAGTTTCTTAGAGTCTGACGGTATTTCATAGATATTTCATACAGTGTGTGGTTATTTGTATTCCTCAAAGTCGAGGACAAGAACAGTTACTTCTAGACGTCATTGAGTATTTAGAGCACTATATTACCTATTGTGTTTGTTTTATGTTTTTACTTTAAGCTAATTACAGAGAATATTTTAGTAAATTTGAAGTTTCTTCATTATTTAGAGGAAGTCATTTCTTTAATTTGTAATGTGAATTTGTACACATCTGTCTCATGAAAAGTATGTCAGTCTACAGACTGAGCTCGCCTGGTGATGTTAAGGTTCTGGTCCCGATCCCCAAATAGGTTATGGTTGTGTACAGACAGGAGCTCCGAAATAGGACAAACAGCTGTCCAGTACTCCGAGGTTTCCACTGGTTCTATAACTGATATCAGATAAAGCTGATAAAGCCTGGCCTGATGCCCGTTAGCGACTGGCTGCAGGACGAAGTTGCCTGGAGTTCTACTGAGAAGTCGTAACCAGTAGCGTCCACCAGGTTGGGCGTGAGGACAAATGCTCACCGATGACATTGGCTGGTGGTGGTGCTAAAATTTGTGAAATATTTTCACTGAAGTTATACACGAAGTAGTTAAAAAAGGTTTCAAAGCATACCTTTAGTAGCAGTATGAAACTCTCTGTAAACAATACTAATTATTTTAATTGAATTTTAGATTTTCCCGTCTAATGATTGGACCAAAGTGCTCGGTCTCTTGTGCAGATGCTTCGATGATGTCTGGACATTTAATTAGAATTTAATTGTTGGATGGTGACTAGCAGTGGAATCCTATTCGGCATTTGAAGTTATGTGCACTGGGTTCGAGCCTCGGTGGGAACTTCGTCATTCACTGGGAAATGTAGGTACATCCAGATGACTAGTCCCAAATAAGACGAAATGCGCTTTGTCCTGGATTCCACTGCTAGTCACCATCCAACACTTAAATACTAATTATTTATATCACATAGGAATATATTCTAGGCAAGTTTTCATATCAAAAATCTTAATCCAAGATATCATGACATCTTTTATAAGTTTAACTTCAGAATACTGTAGTTATGGGAGAATCAACGTATACATACAGTCTTCAAAGCAGCATTAATTATGCCTTTTCTTATAGGCTTAAGATGTATCTGCAAAAGCTAGACTGTCTGTTTTTATTTTTACTATGAGCTTATATCAGAAACATGATACGATTAATGAGTGAGTGGTACACTCCAAAAATGGAACCGTGACTGATTTATGATATTTCAACTTTTTTCACATCACTGTTAACCTGTCTCGTGTTTCATTATACTTTCAGAGAACGTCTCCGTCCAATCAATGTACAGGTTTGCCAAAAGTTCAGCAATACAAACCAACGTACGATCCCACTGATAGCATAGCAGTTGTTTAAAAAAAAAAATCAAATGTAGTCTTAATTCTAGCTATTTTGTCACTTAATTTGTCAATGCTACAGAGTAAATTTTGCATTGTTTCATTTGTTCTCTTTAGATATATATATATGACAACTATGGTTTGAAGTGATAGGTGTAATGCTTTCGCGCTTCGTATTTTAATGTCACTAGTTATAATGTAGTTCCAATGCAAAAAAATTAAATGCCCATTTGACTGTATGAACTTTTTTAAGCAGAAACCGTGTTTTAATTATTGCTTGGAAGAATTCACTCCACTCCCCTCATGAGCCAAATAGGTAAGGTAAATTTGACAGCAGAATTCAGTGTAACAAGAGCTTTCCTTGCACAAAAGTCATTGTTCTTCTCCTTATTTCAAAGAAAATGCGTGCGTATGATGTTCCACACGAACGAATCCACAGGAAGAAGGAAGTATCTTGATTTCCATCAACGTCTTTTTATAGTGTGTGCTTACGCCCCAACCTATTGCAGTTCAAACTATGTGAAGGAAAAGTTCCCCATAAACCTGTCTAGTCCGCTGTTAAAAGTGAAACTGTTAGACATAGTTGTTTTAGCAGGTGACTTCATTGGTCAGTTAGGAGAGCTGTACCAGCGGAAAAAGCATATTGGCGTCACCCATAGAGTTCCATTCCTAAACACCGATAACGGTGATCATCTCCATTAGTTCTATTCGGATAATCATCTGTCCCTGGTAAGCACCTGTTTCAGATGTAAGGGGGGAAACATTGCCTAAGGTGGTGACCTCCGTCATCAAATCAACGATAAACATACATAGGTCAAGTAGTTATATGCTATCAATAAAGAGAGTTTAGAGCATCAGGGGTTGTTTTGGCATTCACTCTCCGGTAATCACCGGTGGGTCGCCAATCATTGCTATCCTTTTTCGGAACCATATGAAGTGGGGATGCCCATGGGCTATTCGAAGGTCGAATGATGCCAAGGGTAAGCATATGGTCAAATTCATTCCTGGCGATTCTCAGTTTGTCAGGAGCTAATCGTCGTGCTTTAGATGTCACAGGTTGTCCTGTGGTAATGATGTGGTGCATAACATTGCTGGTTATGCACGGTAGGTCGTTCGACGGGCAGTTAAGTTCCGGATACTTGTCAACATAGGTTGAAAAGTTGGATCAAGAATTGCCTTTATCTTAACGGGTGACAAACTAGGGCCTATGTAGCTGATGCCTTTGATAGACAGACTAGTAGTATTGTCAATCAGTCGTTTTCGGCGGACGTCTACGAGTAAATCATGATGATTAAGTAGGTCCGTGCCAATGATGGGCATTGTAACGTCAGCGAGAAGGAAAATCCATCGAATAGGTTTGCGTAAACCTACGTTCAGATAGACGTATTTCCTACCAAAGGTTGCGATTGGTTTTCCATTTGCAGCCTGTAAGTTGAAGGTAGGTTCCTTCTGTCGATCTGCTGCTGTAGCAGGAAGGACGCTGACTTCGGCGCCTGTGTCGACTAAGTATCGAGTCTGGCTTATCACATCATGGATGTAAAGTAGGCGGCTAGTGCCACCGGCGACGGTTGCCGCTAACGCGTGCCGGCGGGATAGTTTCCCACAGACTTTGAGACATTTCCGAAGTTACAAGGCTTACGGCAACACTTCGCTTCTTGGCCATAGGTGTTGTGGTACCAGCACCAGTCAGGGTTTTTCAGTGAACGTGGTTTGGACTTAGATCGACCACGTGAGTTCCTGCGTTGAGGAGATTTAGGACGACGGTCGGAGTTAGAAGGCATGTTTGACCTAAACATCTGCTGGATGGAGTTGCATAACTCTATCATTGCAGGATCCTTACTCGAAGTCTGCTTAGTCATCGAGCATATTTCGGGAACTGACCGTTTAGTTATTCCTAGAATCCTATCTGCAGTAATAGCTAAGTCCTCTATTACAGTACCCTGAAGTGTCACAAGTACGGTCTGTACAGACTGTGGCAACTTGGTTAAGAAGAGTTCTCTAAACAGTCCTTCGTCGAACTGACTTTGGCCGACGACTTTTTCATTCTTGTCAGCATGCTCACGGCTGACTGATCTCCTAACTCGATGTTACGAAATAATTCATCTAGACGTTGTCGGTCCGTGAGAACGTTTCTCCTGAGGAGGGATGCTTTGAGCAACTCGTACGAGTTACTTACCTCGGGACTGAACATCTGTGATGTTACGTACTTGCTGAATTCCCGCGGTAGGGCGTGAATAACTGCAAGTAACTGTGAACGTTGATCGGTTATCCCATGCTCACAAAAATCTGCTTCAGCTAGCAGAAACCACGTTTCAGCATTATCTGGCCAGTATGGTACGAGCTGAATGGTTTTAGGAGTTGAGCGGATACGGATGACCTTGGGACTAAGATCACTCATGACGAAAATTATGTCGAATAATATATGGTACAAGAACAAATACAAAATGGAACGAACTCACCGGGGTTATCTGCGGATTTATCGTGGATGAAGTTCGCGGTTGGGCTCACCAGTTTAGAGGTTGACGGAATTGTCTTACACAGCCTCTAAATTATTCTCGCGTACCAACAACAAAGCAAAAGCCAATATTTGATCGTCCAAACTAAGTGATATATTTCGGGACCAAAACAAGCCTTCAGACGAACGCTTAGCTAGCTAGTGATCGTGCACGTGACACGACGGGGTACCAAATGGCGGGGATGCTTGACCGGAAGCCTTCAGCTAAACAAGTCGACTTAAACAGTGGTGGTCAGCATCCAATGGTGAGTGATTGCTGTGGTCAATAATTTTGGGGAATTATTTACCGCTACAAGAGTCAGTTGAAGATAGCCACTCCTTTTGCAACACTAATGTGTGCTCATATAGAAGTAAGGCGGAATGTTTATAGAAAGCAGGTAATTATGAACCCTTAAGCCTTTAAATTCTTAATAAGGGCACAATGTATATATTTGGGTAGAAATGATCATACACTCATGTAAGTGTGACAACAATACTTATCCTGAGGAAGCCTGAGACCCTATCCAATCACCTAAAGAAAGTCTTTTACGGCAGCTTACAGCCAGCAGCCATAGGTTAATAAATGCCGACGGATTTCTACGGCTTCTTCGGAGATGAAAACACTCAAGGAGGGAGACAGATTCCCACAGGCACTAAACACGAATAGGAAAGAAGTCTGCTTGAATGCAACGTGACTACAAGTTTTTGCAGCGGCAGAGATGGAGAGCCTATCAGGCCCACACAGAAGAAGAAATCTATATAAACCAATATAGAAAACGGTCCTTAGAAATACTAGCGGCAAATGTGACTTCCAAGAAGAACGATACTTTAAGTATTACTTAGGATATACTAGTGGAACGTGGGAGGCAACACATTGAGGAGCGATTCAGTTGGCTTACAGCCACGTCAAATTTTCCTAGAACTCAATGAGGTATTGATATAGGTCCTCCAACTACAAAACTATCTTTTACCTAAAACAAGACAAACAGTGTAAACTTATCGTATGATGCCAGAGATGTTTACAGATGGTAGTGATAAACTGTTATCTGAGTTAACGAAGACACCAGGGAATGTTTGGGGATACGGTATATTCCCTTTGAACGAGTGCCTTAGTCTCTAAGGAAAACAAGTCTTCGTGGAGTAATTAGAGGGGAATAAGCTTAACCAACATAGTACTTAAAGTTAAAGGTCCAGTAATCATGCGTAGACTAAGTCTATTTCCTTGCACTAGTGTTCTGAGCTCAATTTTGCTCCTTCTGGTGTCCTGCTAACCTCGTCTCTACTTACCTAATATGAGACTGATGAAATCTGTCTGTTTCTCAGTGTTTTTATCTGGTGAAAGCGACGTCGGCTTTTGGATATTCTCGCCCTTATACACTAAATCATTGTACTTGTAAAAGTCTGCAAACAGCTGACTATTCTAATTCACTTCACTGAGAGCCTATTGACGCATTAGGAGTTCCGTTCCAGTATTGTCTGCTCTCAGTTGGCTTAACATTTATATCACCCATTACGATTTTTTGCCGCCGTCTATCTGTGGTAATGTTCATTAGTGCTTCCGATCTCTTCTCTAGAGAAGACCTTCATCTCTACTGGGTTCGAGCTGTTTGTGGGTGGGTAAGAGTCTATGATTCTAACTTTCCTTCTCCTGGAGTAGACTGTTGCTGCCATGATTCTAGAGATGGCTGATTTCTGTCACTTGAGAGCCTTAGGTGCTGTCAATGACATCATGATTTTTACACCATCAGTGTGCTCTTGGTTGTCAGCTGGATGATTAGAGTAGATTATTTTATCTCCTTTCCACCTACTTTCACAGATTCGTAACACTTCTATACCATATCTTCTCATTTCTCCTGTAATCTGGACTTCCTCGTCAGACTTGAACACCCTGTAGACATTCTACACACTGTGCTTACATTCGCACTCATCCAAAAACAGATAATTTGACTGGGTTTATAAAGTCTTTCATCCACCGACTTCATATATGTTCGACCTGAAGAGTCTCTTTGAATCAAGTGGGGGAATAATTTAATTTTCCCCGTGTTTTGAATTTAAAGTAGTTATTACGTGTTTTTTAATAGGGTGGGACTGCTAGACCCAAGACTAAACCTCGCTCTTTAACAAGCTTTAGATTACTGGACCTAAGCTCACTTCAACTTCAGTAGCGCAGGATATCAATGACTGCGTTATCGTAAGGTTTGGAACCTGCTTGGTTTTATGGAGTTTGTTCGTCTGAAGTCTCTCTCAGTCTTCACACGGTTGTTGGCTTTAGAAAAACAGGTAGTGTTTCGGGTGATGATTTTTTCGATTATCTATAACTAAGGTTGATGAGCCATCTACGCCAGTCTGATAGAATTATTTCGGAATACCATAGACTAACTTGTACCCTGGATAGTCCTCTCAGTAATTCATAATCATACTTTAACATCTGTGAGATAAAAAGATCAGAGGCTTCATCTTCACACCTTTTTAGGCTGGGGTGGTTTTAATAAACGCTTTAAAAGCTGCAAGACT